GGACACCATCTTCGAAAACGCCATTAATGTCCATCTTGAGCTTGAGAGAAACAACCAACAAAGTAAAGACATTATTGATGTGATGTTAGAATTAGACGTAGATAATCAAGATCGCTCAACAGGATCATTCGTCCAACGTAACCATATAAAGGGATTGCTCATGGTATGTTTATTCAAGTTTGCACTTTTATTTATCATGCATGCTACTTTTGCATAAATGGTTATATCAATATTGATTTTTTGTGAGATAACTTAATTTTTGCACATTTAACTAATTTACATGTTTTTTATATTTGTGTAACAGAACATATTCTTTGGTGGAATAGATACTAGTTCAAATATTGTGATATGGGCAATGGCAGAACTTATTCGTAATCCAAGAGTGATGAAGATCGCACAAGATGAAATCAGAAATTGTGTTAGAAATAGAGAAAGAGTCACAGAAGATGATTTATATCAACTTCAATATCTCAAGTTACTAATAAAAGAGACTCTAAGACTTCACCCTGTCGCTCCTCTGTTGGTTGTAAGAGAAGTCATGTCTCATTTTAAGATGAATGAGTATGACATCTTCCCTAAAGACTTGATAATTATTAATGCTTGGGGAATTGCAAGAGATCCCAGCTATTGGGACAAGCCTGAAGAGTTCTTTCCAGAAAGATTTATAGAAAACTCTATTGATTTTAGAGGACAACATTTTGAGTTTCTTCCATTTGGATCTGGTCGAAGAATTTGTCCAGGAATTAATATGGGGCTAGCAGCTGTGGAGCTTGCACTTGCCAATCTCTTGTATTGCTTCAATTGGGAGGCACCAAAAGGCATGGAGAACCATGATATTAACTTAGACGAAAAAGGAGGTATTACTTTGTCTAAAAAGATACCTCTTGAACTTGTACCTATAGCTTATTTTGAGTCACGAGCTTCGGTATAAAAGTGTGATTAGTTTTCTACATCCCATATGACTATAATGCTACTATATATATATATATATTACCTAAAATTAGAATATGCAAAACTTCTGAGTAGTTGATTCTTTTTATGATCAATGATGAAATAAAAACTTTGTATGCTTACTCTCATGAAAAAGATTATACTCATGAAAAAGATTATACTTCTCTTTCATTATAATTGTTTAAATTACTTGGGGTAAACGTTATTTTATTTTATATGGGAGTTTCAGAATTTTTGTAATACAATCACAACTATAGAGTTCAATTTTATTCATATTTGATTTAAAAAATTACAATAATTTTTTTAAAAAATTGTAGCATTTTAAAAGCTTGATCTCTCAGCTTTAAAGAATATTATTTTTTTATAAATTAAATGTGTTAAGAATATACATTTTTTTATTGTAATCGGTAGTTATTACCGTCAGTTTTGTAGTTAATTATTTTTTACATTCTCAATAGTATATCTTGTTCCTTTATCATCGTCACCATGCACTAAATATATAGGTGTAAGATCTGTTGGTAAATATAGCTCAATGATATTCCCTATAACAAGCTTTTTATGAATTAAACATCATTATCTAAACCTATTTCAGTTAATCTTAATTCAGAGCTTAAATTAAGTGAGATGAAATAAATAGCTCCACATCCTTTGAAATCACCAAAAGATTCAAACATATCTTGAAATGTAAAAAACATTAAGTAATCTTCATCACAACGATCAAACACATTAGTTTTTCCTCCAATATATCTAAGATTTGGCTTGAAAATAGATTGTTTACCGTGATGTAGATGGATATCATATAATTTTGACATCTGTTACATATTTTAAAACAACAAACAAGTATAAAAATTGTGAAATAATTAATTCCATATTAACACATTAACAAAAATAACCATACAATATTGTTTTCAAACTTAGTGAATTATCCAATGCATTAGATGATTTGAAGTATTATGCTAATCAATTTAAGACTGTGTGACATTAGGTGAGTTAAAATATCATGCTTTTGTTGCAAAAGATATATTTTGAGCAAAGGAAACACATGGAGAAATAATTTAATTAGGAAAACCAAATAAAAGCTAAAATTTAATTAACAAAAAATATATTATTGAAAAGCAATTATCATGTCGAAATAAAGTATCCTAAGTAATGAAATGCAAAAGGGAAGGCAAATAGGTCATTCTCGATTAGAGTTTCTCTATCTTGATTTTGGAAGACAAGGAGAAACACAAAGAAGGGTGTTCGCAAGTATCTTACGATTCTCAATTAAATATGGAGAAAGTTTTGGGATGCAAAGAATGACGAACATAAAAAGCAAAAAGGAAGAATTTTTTTTGGCTTCGAAAGCCAAGAGATTATGTTTCATTTTTTTTTTGTTTTTCACATCTAATATAGATATTTTATTAGAATTAATCTTAATTAGTATCATTAATGTCAGAGTTAGTTACTTTGATTTATTTGGTATCATGTGTTACTTTCCGAGTAATCACGTATCAATTTTCTTTCATGCTAACGTTGTTCATGTGTAGGTTTAATGACTAAACTACGAGGTAATGGATTACTCAAAAAAATTATATAATGTAAAAGTGAAAAAAGTCAAACCATAAAGAATTAAACTAAAATTAATCATAAATGAACCTTAAAATAAGAGAACACAAAATTTGTTCTCCACGAAAATCATTTAATGGGTTGTACTGTCAAGAAAATACAAAAATGGATATATAGGCAAACATAATTATCTTAGCTAAACATTCTACTTCATGAACCAAATTTAGTCATCTGACTTGATCTTACTTGTATAATCTAAAATATATGTAAGAAATTAAATTATAGACTTTTTAATGAAAAAAATTAGAAATAAATAAATGAATAGTACAAAAAAAAAACAGTGTTGTCTAGAGCAGTTGTATATGGTTAGATTGTAGGGAATAAAATTAAATTTGAATCTAAATAAATCCAAAACACGCATATTGAATCATTGATATTTAAGTCTAAATCAGAAGCATAGTTGAATACATGATGGAAGAGAACAACGCATCATGTGGTTGATACTCCAAATTGGTACGTACTCCTTTGAAGTTATCACACTCTCTCTATTCCTGATGATGAGATGTCAGTATAGAAAAATTCTAACTGTAATCTGAGGACCATAACCGCATTTTATAGCCTTAATTTTTATTATTCCTAATTTGATTCATCACAAAATTAGAAATAACACTTTAGTCTCTATACATAAAGGTCCATACTTTATTTGATGCATTAAAGTCCAAAATGAACTTAACCGTATTATATCACTTTTAAACGGGTTCAATTAATTTGATAACCTTTTATGCATAATAATTTTCACATATAAGCCTACATGGTTAATTAAAACCTAACAATCCCCCACTTGGGTAATATATCACCTCATAATTTTGCATTAGAAACTTTATAAGTACTTAAAATTATGCTATCATTATCTCAACGCATCCCTAAATAATCCGGTCCATCAATCATATCAACATATGATCAAAATAATCTCCCTACATCCATTGTAACTAAATCCATCAATTGTCATGTATATTATATAACTAAATGACCTG